TCTAAATCTCTTTACTAGAACATATCCAAGTCTAAAGATAGAAGCAGCCATCGCAATAGCTAAACAACTAAAGAAAATTCACGAGGAACTATAAGAATCACTTAAACAGGCTTAACGCCAAAGCATTTCCTACTAAAATAAGAAAAGAAAAATAGCACCTTAACTAAAGAAGGGGGATAAAGTATATCTACTTACAAAAAACCTTCGCACAAAACGACCTAGCAAGGGACTAGACAATGTTAAGGTCAGACTATTTTTAATTTCGAAACAAAACGGACTAGTTACATATACACTTGACCTGCTAGCCAACGCGAAGATACACCTAAGATTCTACATACGCCTATTAGAACTAGCAGACCCCAAAACGCTACTACAAAAAACATTTTATTTTAAACCTAAAGAGGAAGACGAATTTAAAGTTAAAAGAATTGTCTTACACCAAACAAAAAACAACAAAACTAAATAACGTATGTGGCAAGCGAGCGCCGCAGGTAAGCGAGCGCCGCACCCCACCAAACCTGCGCACCTCTCCTATCTCAACGAACAATGGCTCAACGTAGCGCTACTTAATTAGCTTTAAATAAAGCAGATATTCAGCTTGCTATTTCTTCTATTAATCTCTATTAAACACAAAGTAATCGTTGCGCTGCTGCTATCTACAACGTGTCTAAACGAACAATCCGCCGCTAACGCGCTAGTATACCTGCTCGACGCGATTGCCAGCCTAACTCAAAGAAGCTTACTAAGCTAGAAGAGGAGGTGATAGTTGATTATATACTTGATCTAGATCTACGTGGATTTGCGCCCACGTATGCTGCTGTGCGCGATATGGCTGATAAGCTGCTGGCTGCGCGCGGCGCTGGCCAGGTTGGGCAGAAGTGGCCAGCCAACTTTGTCAAGCGTACAGACAGTCTTACGACGCGTTTCAATCGAGCGTACGATAGGCAGAGAGCTCTATGTGAAGATCCAGTCCTAATCAAGAGCTGGTTTGAGCTTGTAGAGCAGACAAAGGCTAAGTACGGCATCTGTGACGAGGACGTCTACAACTTCGACGAAGCTGGCTTCATGATGGGCAAGATCACGACTCAGCTAGTCGTAACAGCGTCAGAGAGGAGGGGCCGACTAAAGGCAGTTGAGCCAGGCAATCGTGGGTGGGTAACGCTGATCGCAGCGATTAACGCAGCTGGCTGGGCAGTTCCGCCATTCCTCATCTTTGCTGGCAAATATCATCTATCCGCCTGGTACGAAGCAGAGATCCCACGCGACTGGGCGATCGCAGTCAGCGACAACAGCTGGACGAATAACGAGCTAGGTGTTGCCTGGCTAAAGCACTTTGATGCTCACACAAGACTCGCGTTGTTGGCACACGTTGCCTACTTATTCTTGATGGCCATGAGAGCCACTAG